AGCGTGGGCCACCAGAACAAGCCGGGTGGGAAGGGCGGCAGACGGAGATGCTGCAAGGAAATTCGTTCCCCTGGGATTATCAGGGCTGGCTAGCTTCATAACTGTCTCCAGAGGCCACAGGCCTAACTGCAAGGGTGATGGCACAGGGGGAAAAAAGATGAACCAGGGCAGAATGGGGTCATTGCCAACCCAGTCTTGGCAAACCGCTCCAAGCAGGAAAGAAAGGAGGAAAAGCCTCAGGTTGTTACAGAGAGGGTGAGAAAATACAGAGAAACAGAAGGAAGGAGAGGGGTGGAAACTGAGCCACTGGCTCAGACTGAGGGGGCACTGCTCCATCCACAGAAAGATTAAGTTCACATCTGCACCAGCCAAGGTGTGGAGCAGGCCTGGAATATACTGCTTGGGCATCCCCTATAGATGAAGATAGGAGAGGGAGTCTGAGCAAGCAGGAACAGGCATCACTGGCAAAGGTGAGTAGTATCAGGACAACGTTAGCAGCCTCGTTCACTGAGTTTTTGGCTGTGGGTGTCTGGAGACCAGAGCTGCTCTAGCAGAAAGGTGTCTACCGGGGCAAGGCATGTGGCCAAAAGACTTGTGCCGTAAGACTGTGAGATGGCCGGGTGTTGTGGGAGTGGTGGCACACACACGTGAATGAGATGGGACAGGAGCAGCAGGTTACAGTCTAGAGCACTGCTGGAGAAAGGCTGAGGTCCAAAGACTGGCATAGCTTTTGGAGCTGTACAGCAGGAGCGACGGGTGTTGGAGCAGGCGTGTGGGGAGGACAGAACCTGAGTGGCAGGGAGTGATGTGAATTGAGCCTTGCATTACAGAAATGGTGTTAGGAACAGTTTGTGTGGGGTGTCTCAGACTGGAAGGACAGGGAGCACAGGGTGTCTCAGCAGCACTGGAAGGAGTTGCTGGGGTCCAGAGTCTGGCCTGAGCTACGCAGGGATGAGTGCAAATCTGGCTCTTCTCTTCCCTGAAAGACTCAGGGAGTGCTCTGCACAGCCTAGATCATGACAAGGTGTTTGTGTGGGCAAGCAGAGAGAGAGATCTGGGGAGGCAGGATGCTCTTAAATCACTTTTTCTCTTTTCTCTCTTCTACAGTAAACCTCATGACCTGAATCTCCAAGGGAACCTTTGAAAAGGATCTTCCCTTCCCCGTCATCTCCTTTATTGTTTGCCAGCTCTGCCCTGTGCTGCACAGAAAAGGTTGAAAGCGCAGGCTGAGCCCTGGAGGACAGCAAAAAGGACAATGTAGTGAAGCTGCCGTGGGGTCTTGGATAGGGAACCCTCTCAGTTGTGTCCCTCACCCTTCACTTTCCACTGATGGCTCTCTGGCAGCCTTGTCAGGAATCTCTGCCCGGCGACGAGCGTGGCATTTGGTGAGAGGAGGATTACACACAGTGTATGCGTCACCCTCGCCATTTCTGCAGGACCTTTGTCCTTCCCCTCATCTTCTCTGTCTTCTCTGAAACTCTTGGCTAGCTCCTCATTCACTAGGACACTGAGCAGCAGGCACCTGCTACTACCAAGCTGTTTGGAGCCCCCAGCAATCCCTGTTTGCATGTGGTCTTCACCAGTCCCAGCAGAAGGTAGTCCCTGAGACAGAAAGTGCCCGGTGGGCACATGGAGGAGAGCTTTTTCTTTGGGGGAAGAGTAGAGGAGGGGAATGAAATAGATGGGGAGGAAAAAAAAAAAGTGAGGCCAAGTGTGTGAAGGAAGAAGCACTGGCAAGTGTTTGTGAGAAAGAGAGAGGAAGAAGGTGGGAAAAAAAAAAGAGTACAAGGGAAAAAAAGGGTGAGAAAGTTAGAGCAAGGGAAAGAAATACAAGCAAACAGAAGGGGAAAGGAGGACTGGAAGTGAGGCAGAGTTGACAGCTGTTCTGCCCAGCACCTGGTGACAATGTCTTGAGAAACCCCTCCAGTGTGTGTGCACCTTGCATCACAGCAGCAGATGAAGAGGGCCGTGGCTGCCCCATTGTGGAGTCCCACTCACACTCTTCAAAAGACCCAGCAGCAGGGACAGGGTGCAGCGTAGCAGGGGTGGCAGCATGGGGGATTCTGAATCAGAGTCCACCTTGCACAACAACTCGCTGTGGTGGCTGGCATGTGGGATGTTAGCCCTGCTGGCCAACTCTTGGATTATTCTCAGCATCACAGCCAAACAACAGAAACACAAGCCCCTGGAGCTGCTGCTATGCTTCCTTGCTGGGACCCACATCCTTATGGCAGCAGTACCCCTCACCACCTACGCCGTGGTGCAGCTGCGGCGCGAGTCCTCCGACTACGACTGGAATGAAAGCATCTGCAAGGTCTTTGTCTCCACGTACTACACCTTGGCACTGGCCACCTGCTTCACAGTGGCCTCTCTTTCCTACCACCGGATGTGGATGGTGAGGTGGCCAGTCAACTACCGGCTGAGCAATGCCAAGAAGCAGGCTCTGCATGCCGTCATGGGCATCTGGATGGTATCGTTCATCCTCTCCACCCTGCCCTCCATCGGCTGGCACAACAATGGCGAGCGCTACTATGCCCGTGGCTGCCAGTTCATTGTCAGCAAGATAGGGCTGGGCTTCGGTGTCTGCTTCAGCCTCCTGCTGCTCGGAGGAATCGTCATGGGCTTGGTGTGCGTGGGTATCACTTTCTACCAGACCCTCTGGGCACACAGAAGGCGCCGGCGGTGCCGCCATCAGAGGGGAGAGGAGGCGTCGTCCTGCTCTTCATCAGCACACACCACTTTCAACGTGCCCGCCATTGTCGTGGAGGACGTTCGAGGCAAAAGGAGGTCCTCACTGGACGGCTCTGAGTCAGCCAAGACCTCCCTGCAGATGACCAACCTCATCAGCGCTATTGTCTTCCTGTATGACACACTCACTGGGGTGCCTATCTTGGTAAGCTAGTCTTCAGAGGCTTCAGTTCAGCTAGATTTCCATTTCTCTCGAGTTTTAGAGAAGAAACTCTGCCTTCTGTCCACCAGCCCTAGAGTTTCTGCATCTGAATCTGTGTTATTCTGAGGGCTGGCTTCACAAAGATTGCAGTAGTTCTCTCATCCTTCTGCAGCAGCATTTTCTTAAGTCTAAGCTGAAACCTCTGTGAGAGTTTTAAGTGGCTAAGAGGAGAGGAAATGATTCTGCAGACTTAGAGGGGGATCTACCTCTGTAAAAACAATGAGATTTCTATTTCTTCAATTTGCTTCTGGAGAACAGAGACACCAGCTTTAAAAGCTGTTGCAGACAGTTTTTATTTCTGTCTGTATAGTCATAGTCAGGATTCAGGACTTGGCTGGCTGGTGGATCCTCTACAAAACTGGAGAGCTGGGGAAGTTCTTAAAGGGAACCATTAAGAGAGCAGAGGCTTAGTCACAGTTTGGGTTTGTTTGTTTGTTTGTTTTTTCCAGTGGCTATGTCCTTTGTTAGCACCTATTTACTTCCAGCTCATAATGAGCATGAGAAAGAAGGGATGCTAACACCAGGTCTCATTCTAGAGATGTGATAGCTGGGAATATGGTCTGGAAAACCTGGGGCAACACCCCAAGAAAGTTTTGCAAAGGGGCATGGGTTAATTACTTGGCAAATCCTTTACAGACAGACTACCTTCTACTACAGAATTGACTCCAGTTATCTTTCTCTCTTGATCCTCACTTCTGTCTTCTTTCTTGGCATTGTTTCTCTCTCTTACCTTGAAGGTCGTGAGCTTTTTCAGTCTGCGCTACGATACGGCCCCCACCTGGATGGTCCTGGCTGTGCTCTGGTGCTCTATGGTGCAGACCCTGCTGCTTCCCTCCTTCATCTGGTCCTGCGAGCGCTACCGAGCAGATCTCCGCACCGTGTGGGAACAGTGTGTGGCTATCATGTCTGAGGAGGATGGAGATGATGGTAAGCTACTCACCACCCCACACTCACCTTTCCTCACTAACCTCCTCCCAGAAAGATTACACGGGAAGGAGGGGTCTGCCTTGGTAGAAGGACCTGAGGGCGTGAAGAGTCATGTTGTGAGTGGCTAGGTGGGATTCACGTTAAAGCTTGGAGTCAACAGCCATGAGAAAATTTCTTATAAAGAAGTCTCTGCCACTCGCTCGCTGCCTTAGAACTCACTCACATCCACGAAAAATCCGTGCAACATCCTTCACAGTAGATGCAAGAATAGAGACAATGTAGAGCTGCCAAACCACAATAAAAGGGACACACCGGGCCTCAGCCCAACTCACTGATCCACAGGTCCACGTTCTGGCAGTGAGTGACTCAAAGGTGAGACAAAAGAAACAGGGCAGTCTCTGCGTGCTTTAGTGCTGCTCCAAGCAGGAAGACAAGGTCCTTGTTCAGACGTGAGCCTACCTGACTTGCATCCCTCAGGGCTCACGTCTGAACAAGGACCTTGTCAGACAAGCGTTAGGATGGCGTCCGGGTGCTCTGTTGATGCTCCTCTTCTGGATGAAAAGTGTTGACTGCTCGTTCTCTTTGCCAACAGATGGCGTGTGTGATGATTATGGTGATGGCAGGATCTGCAAAGTGAGATTTGATGCAAACGGTGCTGCAGCTGTGAAGCAGGACTCCCGGGACATTAAACTGCTACCCATGCACCACATGTTGTTGCCCCAGGACAAGGTGCACTACCTGCAGGTGAGCCAAGAGCTATCAGGGGCAGCCCCGCAGCACGCTTCCTTCTCTGTCAATCTTCCAAGCCTTGGTGTCCTCTTGACTCCCTTCTCTGAGAAAGCCTCAGCTACTCCCCTCCTGTTCTGGCTCTTCAGGTCTTCCACCGCCTGCACCCCTCTCTGTTTTCCAGGTCCCTATCTCCCGGAGAATGTCACACGACGAGACTAACATCTTCTCCGCCCACCGCTCTGCTCCATCCTTCCTACACAAGTGGTCTTCATCTGATGACATCCGCATCTCCACCCCCCGCAATCCTGGGGCGCCCAGCTTCTTGCCTCCTCAGGTGCACGACTACCAGCACCGCCGTCGGCCCCC